CCTTCTTTCTTCTTCTCTTTTCTGCCACCGCCCAATTTGGAACTCGTCACACAGCAGCCGCCACCGCCTGCTGTCGGTTGCTTGTGTGGAGGTTGCTGCCGTCCGATGAACGCCGCCAGGAGGGGTAGTAACGACCATTATTCATGGCCTACGATATGGAAGCATATGAAGGGTGGGACCTCTGTCGAATATAGATCATGGAGGACCACCATGGCGGCCGGCCATGATGGTTGTTGCCGATAACCGTTGCTGCTGGCCGTTTTCCTTTGCTGCTGTTGCCGCCAATCTTGTGGCCGTCACCACTGTGAGCCACCAGGTGGGTGGCTGGAGTATATTCTGAAATCGGATATGTGTGTGTGTTTATAAATTAGTGTGTGTGTTATTTCCTTGATTAAAGCATTGTAACATGTAATTTGAGATTAGAAGAATGAAAAGAAAACTCAAACCACCACCGTGAGGTGGTGGTTACCGCCACCGGCCGCCGTGTCGGGAGGCGGTGTGCTTTGATTGCGTTTGGACCTCGTTTGGGGGATGTTTGGACAAATGTTGGACTAATGAAACCCTAGTGGGCCCAATGGAACCCTAATGGGTCAATAAGGCCCAATGTGACCTAAAAGCCCAACCATTGGACTAATGAACTACTATTGGGTTGGAAAACCCTAATTAGGGTTTGGAAAACCCTAAGGGGCATAAAACCCTAACTTGTGGAAATTGATCGGGACACACACACGGGAAGTATGTAATAAACTTGAAATATTAAATAATAATCATTGGCAAACTAACTTAAGGCAGTAAGGGACTAAATGGATTAAGTCCTTAATGGGTTAAGTGAGAAACACTTAACCCTAATTGTCACTTTATGTGAAACCCTAATTTCACTCGGGCTTTGTGTTGGGCCTTCCTATTGGGTTTTGGCGATTGGACTATTGATGGGCTATCCAAGAACAAGTTAATGGACCAAAATAATTAGATGGGCATTGGGATAAGTCCCATGTGAGGACTTGGGCCCAATTTGGAAATTTGGGCCATAGATGGGCCATAACTGGACCTTTATGATTATGAGATATTGGGTCATTGGTATACCAATAGTTTGGACTAGAATTAATGGATGGGCCTTAAGGAGAGACCATGTAGAGGTCTGGGCCCAATTTGGGAAAATTGGGCCATATGTTGGGCTTTGGCCCATTACTTGACTACTGGGTTTTTGTAGTATGAGTTGGACTTTGGGCTTGGAACCCAATTATTAATTGGGTGATGTTTTGATATTGACAGTTCGGTAATCTGTCATCCAGCAGCTGGGATTGTGTCTACGGGACTTCAGCATTTTGAGGTGAGTTATCCTTACTATACTAAGGGGTCTAAGGCACCAAGGCCGGCCCATTGGATTCGATATCTTAGTAGTTACTAATATGTTGAGTTTGAGTTAGTAATGTATGCTAGTTGTTATGCTAGTTTGGTAGGTCGGTAGGATTACCTGTGATACTGATTGATTACCTGTATGTGCATTTATCTGTTACATGTCGACATGTTATGTGGGATGGGTTGAGGTTGTACTGCTCCGTGCGGTAGCCAACAAACCCCAGAGTATTCCAGATATGAGCTGAGGGCCCGATAGGCATTCCAGACTCATACTGAGGACTCGGGAGCAGTCCAGATACGAGCTGAGGGCCCGGTAGGCATTCCAGACTCGTACTGAGGGCTCGGTGGCAATCCAGATGTGAGCTGAGGGCTCGGTAGGCATTCCAGACTCACACTGTGGGCCCAAGGGTATTCCAGTCTGTAAGCTGTGGACCCGTTACATGTTGTTCTGTTCAGTTGGTTATGTTATTGCTGATATTGTTATGTGGACTGTATGTGTATCGGTATTTTGGGGGTAACTCACTAAGCCTCAGGCTTACAGTTTCAGTTTATTGTTTCAGGTACATCAAATGATTGCAAGAAGGCAAAGGCGTGATCGTACAGTTCCTCACCTTTTATGACTATGTTTCTGGGATACTCTGATATAGAATTGTTTTGAAAACAAATTGGTAGTAACTGATGGTTTCTAAATGTTTTAAAAAGTTTAAATTTGGCCTGATTTTTATGGATGTTACACTTGGGGTTGCCACCCTTGATGCTATTTGAGTCCATAAGACAGAAAGTTGCCATCTTGATGGTCTTAATGGGTTCATTCTTGAGTTATGGTCACTTTTATGGAAGTAGAATGCCATTTTTGGAGTTTGGGTTTGTTTGGGGCATGCAAAGTCACCAAGTCAGTGACTTTATAGGTTTAGATGTTAAGTATAGCTCAGATCTGTGATTTGGACTTGTTGGATCAAGCATTAAGCACTTAATGGATGTTGTGCATGAGCGGTTTGTACGTCGGGCGTACTATGTAGTACGCTGCGCGTACAGTCCATTTGCTCAGTACGTTAAGCGTACAGAAGAGGTACATTGGGCGTACGCTATCAGGAGGTCTTGGGCCTTTGTGGACTTCGGACCTTTAGGCCCTAATGGTTTTGGGCCTGGATTTGCTGATAGTTGGGCTTGAATGCATCTTTGGGCCAATAATGGAATAGTTGGGCCTATTGGGCCTTGTGGCCCAATATAAAAATAAACTTCGCATTATGGGCCTCGGTTTGGGCCAATTCTTGGATTAGGTTGTTGTGGGTCTTCGTGGGCCAATTGGGTCAGGATTATTGACTAAGGAGAATATTGGGCTTTAGTATAAGGTCCATTAGAAAGGTCTTGGCCCAATTTGGAAAATTGGGTCATTGATGGTTTTATGGACATTATAATGTTGGGCTTTTGTTTTGGGTTTGGGCCTTAGTTTTGGATCATATTAGGCCATGGGTAAAATGTCATTTTACCCCATGCATGGATTAAGGATTATGGTATGGGACCCAATTGCTAATTGGGTATAGTGATTGGTAGTGACAGCTCGGTTAGCTGGCGGGGCAGCAGCTAAGGATTTCTTCAGGAAGCTTCTGCATTCGAGGTGAGTCTTCTCACCATACCCATGGGTCTAAGGCACCAAGGCCGGCTCATTATGTGATTATGGTATATGTGTTAGTCATTATGTGATTTGATATGTTATGTGATTGTGTGTTATTGCATGGAAGACCCCGGGGGGGGGGGGGGGGGGGAGCCCGTGGCATTGGATGTAAGGCCATGTCGGGTAGCCCATGGCATTCCTAGGTAAATACCATGTAGGGTAGCCCATGGCACAATGGTGTAAGACCCTGGGGGAGCCCACGACATCCTTACAGGTTTATTTGTGTTATGTGTAGATATTTCTGTGATATATGATATGTTTATGTGATATGTGTTATGCTAGTTGTCTTTGTGATACTTGCATGGAAGACCCCGGGGGGAGCCCGTGGCAATTAGATATAAGACCATGTAGGGTAGCCCATGGCATTCTCAGGTTAAGACCATGTGGGGTAGCCCATGGCACAATGGTGTAAGACCCTGGGGGGAGCCCACGACATCCTTACAGGTTTTTGTATGCATGGCTTATGTGTTATATGTAGCTTTTATAGCTAGCGGGAAATGTGATATATGTAGCTTTTATAGCAACATGATATGTGATATGTGGTTTGTGTGTATGGTATGCTCTGGAAAACTCACCAAGCTTCGTGCTTACAGGTTTTGTTTATGGTTTCAGGTATCATCGTTTTGGAAAGGAAGGGCTCGGATTGATCGCAGTGCACACACCTATGATTTCCGCAATGGATGATTTTGGGATGAAATCTGATAAATGTTTTACTTAATGAAGATTTGAATTGTTTAGAATAAATGGTATCAATGTTTTAGCTATATTAAAAATGAAAATTTTACCTTTGATTTTTGGGTCGTTATAATAATAATAATAATAATAATAATAATAATAATAATAATAATAATAATGAAACAACAAAAGACAAAAGACACAAAAATCAAATTAAAATGAGTTTATTAGACAAAAAAAAACAATATATTTAAGTCAAATCAGGTGGGTTTAATTCATGTCAAATCAATGGTACGTATAGAAACACTCACTCGTGGTGCTTCTTGACCAATCTCTTTGCCAAAAACCTATTCAAATAGGACATTAAGCTCTTATTAACACGGCTTATTCCATAAATAGCTTAATGTAAATCCATATCTGAAATGATCATTCACTTGATCACTAATTTCGTGTTACATCTTTTTGTCTCAAAATCAATTAAGCTCCACAAATATCCTATTATATGTCTTAATTCATTAAGATGTCAACTTAATTTCAAGTTTCCAACACTTTCATCATTTGGGTTCTTTTTCCTTTGTTGATTAGGTAAATGTTCATACTGTAAAGACCTCTATGTTGATCCGTAAATGTAAACAACTCTTTAATTGACATGTTTAAGAAGTAAGCTTGAATAAACAGAGTTAGTATACTTAAACACCAGTGAAGCAGCTATCATTGCTACAACAATTTCAGTTGCAACTTCTGATCCTAGGGAAGATACGTTTATTTGTATCACAAGTCTTTTTTTCAGTCGTATCTTCAGGTCGATCCCAACATTTGTGGTCAAGATCTGGGTCACCGATCTGAATGTAGAGCACATTAGGTTCAGGATGAACATTGATGAAGTAGTCGGTGAGCCATTTTAGTGAGTTTTTAGCGGATTGTAATTGTTCGGCTATAGTCCTTTGATCTCCATAGTCGAGGATTGCCCATAAAAGAACAGTGGTTGTGTAAGCCATATGAAATTGAAACTTCATATGGTCTACGACGTCATACATTTAATATGTTTAATCGATTAAGAATCGTAAGTAGCAATGAAGTGGCTTGAGAATCAGATGTTGAAAAGGCATCGCCGATGACTCGATGAGGAAGCAAGAATAAGGAAGGAGCGTCATTGTCGTTCGGATACATAACCCTAGAATGATTCTCTTCTTTAAATGAAGGGCATATTTGGCAATACAAATATATTTGATTGGATTGATTAAAATCTGCTGTGGAAAAATCACTTCCCGACAGCCAGACACCCCCTAAAATGGATAGTTTGGTAATAAGTAATAACAGATCATCCATTAATATTATAGCAATTCATCAAAGCCTCTATCTGCTTCGTCTACGGTGTTCCTTTTCTGCCACGCCATATCCCCCACGACCACCGTCGACGGTTATGACCGTGAATGCGGGTGCTAAAATCGATTATTTCCGCAGAATTTGTATTTAGGTCAGGCTTCATACGATTTTGCACCGGAGGAAAAGTTAATTACAACAATCATTCAACCAATATCTTGACCTAGGGTAAATGTATTGCTGATTTGTTTTTAATTTGGATTTGATTTTCAGTTTTCAAATCAGATGCTCTGTTATTGGAGAAACCGATTAGAAGAATGCCGCCATTTGCCATAACACCGAAAAGCTCTGCTTATTTCTCTGCTCTCACCCAAGAGATCGATAAAAAGCTCCATAGGGTTTGTATAATTCTTCTGTGCATATCAATTGCCGTTTTAATTTGATTCGTTATTTATGATTTCTATGCATCTATACACGTTGATTGATCGGTTAATTTGAATCTGTTAATTGAGCGTTTTCTTCATAACTTCTTCAGGCAATAGCCTCAGCAACTCAGAGACGCGACTTATTACAAGCTCTGTTCGCAGACATAGCTTTAGAAGTTGATGATCGAGCTAGAGGTAACAAAGTGCAGAACAAACTTGGCATTAATTTGTACATCAACCATATCAATTTTTCCTTGGAACAGATATCATTCTTGCCAGAGAAGATGCAACTTCTGAAGCATTGGTAGAAGTTCAGGTTCCCATATGCTTCTACGATGTTCTGGCTGACCATTTCTCCTTGCAACCTGAAAATGGGAAACCAATTCTTGTTTTGATTGTCCAACTCTGGAGTCAGCCATTTGCCTCTCATATTTTCGCCCTTCTCTTCCATAAATGGGTATGTAAGTCCTTACATACATGTTTTCTTGATTCATCTCTTTTCTTATCAATGTTTAACTTTACTACTTTATGTTTATCTTGCAGTTATTTGAAGTTGAACTTGATAGTGCAGATGTCCTCCTTCGTTACTCATCAGCTCTTGTACAAGGTGCTACAAATGTCTTCTGGTATGAACTTTGATGGCTTTTGTTTTGGCCTAAATTCAATCCATTTAGGTTAAACTCTTGTTTGATTCTGATGCATTTGTATTCTTATTTGTAGGATTGATGTCCAGACAAACACGACACACTTTAAGAGTGTTTTCTCGGTGTGAGGGCTTCTAGTTTATACTATTTATAGTTCATGACTTTCAAGATCTTTTAAATCACACATTATTAGTTTATTTTTTTTAGTATCTTCTTGAGGATGTTGCTTTGGTGCCCGAAAAGTTGAAGAAAATCCCTTTACAGGTTAATAAACAAACAAAAATCAACCCTATTCATATGACTATACTTACACTTTCTTTATACTTTATTGTGTATTAACATATATAGATAATTATATCCTTGTGGTTTTCAGACACAACGAGATCTATTTCTTCTGCTTTCAAGATTCATATTCCTTTATAATCTAGGTAATATTACTAATACTCAATTATACCACATACAAATACAATGTTGCTATTAGATTCTATCTTAAAATGTATTGTTTCTTACAGTGGACAAGATTGAAAGCTTTTTAAAGAACTTTCCGGAATACCCAAATGCTTTCCTAGTAGGGGGTCCTGCAGATATACTTGTTATCGAACTCTCTGATCAGGTAAGATCAAAGAAACTGTTTTATTTTATGAATTTATTCCATGGAAAATTTAACACTTTCTTATTGGTCAGCTTCAAAAACTCAAAGTGGAACCTGTGCTTTTACATTATTTCTCCCACATTAAACTTCTCCAAGGTAATAACAAATACTCTTCATTCAGTAATTACACTTTTTCACCTGACAAGAGACATGACAGAACAGGTTGAACTGTGACTGATGTCAATGGGATAAAATTAAAAACTAAAACTTTTTGTCCCACCCAAAAAGGTGGAACTTTCTCGTGATCTGGTGTTTGTGCAAAAAGACGTAAATGCCCTTTTTTTTCATAGGTTTGGAGCTTCGAATGACTACAAGTACAAGGCTTAAAAGCTGCTTGTACAGCTTCACTTCTCCTGGTGGTCCGATGTATCCAACAAGAGCTGTTCGTCATGCAGCCTGGGATGCTCTGGATTTTCTTTTCCCTGTAAGTAAATCTTTATTTATTTATTTTTAATCTGAAAATTTTAATATTTGTTTTGTTTTGGTTATAAGGTGGGGCGATATCCACGACATATAATTAGTCTGTTTTTCCGGTTGCTGTATCCATGGTACTGGCCATCTTCATGTTGGCATTTTGTCTTGTCATTCATACAAGCCATATTTTTCTCCATTTTGAGGCGTATCTTTCCACGTTATAAATTCAAAGATCCTCATGAACATCAATCTTAGCCATGGCCCGCCACCTGTGTCCATACAAAATTGCTGTTTCTGGCTCGACACGTGGGCCCGCCTTTTTTGTTCTCGTGAACCGATGTTGGGTTGTTGTATTTTGGTAAATTCATGTTTTTTTATTATTATTATTATTAATAGGGTTAATGTCAAAGACATAATGGCAACCAACTATTATTGTTTCAAGCCACCCGATCGTGTACTGTATTATTCAACATGTTATTAAACATCTTATGTGCTTTCAATTATACTGTCACCCCGATGTGGCAAAAATTTTAAGTTTTTGTTTTTGTTGAAAGTTAAAACTTATACTTTTATTATCGTCTTCAATTTAGGGTTTTGAATTTTAAGAACCATTGACTTAATGATCATCACCTTCATTGTTATCTTCCGTATCACCTTTGATATGGGTTAGAATTATGACAATATTTAGATGTTTATTCATGTGTGTTACAAAAATATAATCTCCTATGGCTTAAAAATAAACGAAAAAAACTAAGGAACGTATAAAATGGTGGTTTTGGTTCTTTGGAAAATCATAAATGATGTAATGTTATGTTGTGTATTTTCTACAAATGCAAAATTAAAGATTTAAGGAATAAAATGTAAATTGACCAATAACTGAAGGACTCTTTATGTAATTAACTTCTATTTCATTTCAATAGCCGCTGCAACTCGCTCACTCCCCGGCTGCATTTTCACCCAAATGAGAAAGCTCCACCGTCATCGTTCCATCCGGCCTCTTCCGCACCCAAATCCCATCATCTCCACCACCCTTTCACCGTCGTACCCCACCAAACACGAAATCAACGGCCACCTTGATAATGACGAAAACCTCATATCCACTATCACTAACATTGTTCATGGAAACCAAAGCTGGAGTGTATCTTTCAACAACACCATCTCTAGCAACTTGAAACAGCAACACGTCGAAAAGGTCTTGCTCAGAACCCTAGACGATCCAAGGTTAGCTTTACGCTTCTTCAATTTCTTAGGCCTGCACAGGAACTTCAACCACTCAACTACGTCGTTTTGCATCCTCATACACGCACTCGTCCAGTCCAATCTCTTATGGCCTGCTTCTTCACTGATCCAAACGCTCTTACTACGAACATCGAGTCCGGAAATCGTTTTTAAGTATTACTACGATACCTATGTGAATTACAATTTTTCGAGAACTATAGGGTTTGATTTGTTGATTAACGCGTATGTTCAAGGCAGGAGAGTATTAGATTCTTTTTCGGTTGTGAATTTGATGAAAAGCAAGAATGTAATGCCTGAGATTAGAACTGTAAGTGATGTTTTCAACGGATTGATTCGAATTAGGCGATTTGATTTGGTGTTGAAGTTCTTTGATGAGATGACGGAAATTGGTATCAGGGGCAATGCTTACATACATACTGCTATCATTCGATGTTTGTGTGAATTAAAGAATTTTGATAGGGCAAATGAATTGATACAGTGGTTAGGGTCCAACAATCATGAGTTAAATATCGTTATGTACAATGTGTTCATTCATGGGCTCTGCAAGAGCCAAAAGATGGAAGAAGCAATGGAGTTAAAGCAAGCATTGCCTTTAAAGGGTTTGAAAGCTGATGTTGTCACATATTGCAGTTTAATTATGGGTTTCTGTAGATTACAACAATTTAAAACTGCTAGAACTCTAATCAGTGAAATGGTGGACATGGGGTTTGTCCCAAGTGAAGCTGTTGTTTCAGGTGTTGTTGAGGGGTTGAGAAGAAATGGGGATGCTATTAGTGCTTATAATTTGATACAAGATTTAGACTCCATCAAAGCATTACCAAATATATTTGTATATAATGCATTGATCAATTCGTTATGCAAAGAGGGAAATGTAGATGAAGCCAACATTCTTTTTAAAAACATGGATACCAATGGTTTAACCCCTAATGATATTACTTACTCAATCATCATTGATTCATTTTGCAAAAGAGGCCAACTTGAAGATGCACGTCTTTTTCTTGATAAAATGAATGATTCAGGAATAAAAGCATCCGTTTATCCTTACAATTCTCTGATAAATGGATACTGTAAGTCAGGAAAACCAAGAATTGCAGAAACTCTTCTAAAAGAGATGGTTTTTCAAGATGTAAATCCAACAGTTGTGACATATACATGTTTAATAGATGGATATTGCAAACATCAAGATGTACACAAGGCATTGAGGCTTTACCATGAGATGACAGGGAAAAGAATCTTTCCAAACACTTATACATTTACTTCACTAATTTCTGGTTTTTTTAATGCAAACATGGGGACAGAAGCAAGTGCTTTCTTTCTTGAAATGATGGAAAGAAACGTGATCCCTAATGAGAGAACTTACAATGTTATGATTGAAGGCCATTGTCAAGAAGGAAACATGGTAAAAGCCTTTGACTTGTTTGACCAAATGGTGGAAAAGGGTCTGAAACCCGATACATATACCTTCAGATCTTTAATGGCTGGACTTTGTTCGATTAATAAAGTTTCTGAAGCTAAAGAATTTGTAAATAACCTCAACAGGCAAAACCACAAACTAAATGAAATGTGTTATAGTGCTCTTTTACAAGGTTTCTGCCAGGCTGGACTTTTAGATGATGCAATTAGTGCTTCCAATGAGATGATAGAGAAGGGAATCGACATGGACATTGTTTGTTATTCCATGCTTATAAATGGAAGTGTTAAAGAAGGTGATGATGTAAAATTAATACACTTTCTAAAAGAAATGCACGATAAAGGAATGAAACCAGATAATGTTTTATACACAATCTTGATTGATGCTTTTGGAAAAAGAAGAGATCTTGGGAAAGCAATAGGGTATTGGGACATAATGATTAGTGAAAAATGCAACCCCAATGTTGTGACATACACTGTGATTATAAACTGTTTATGTAAATTAGGGTTTATAGAAAAAGCCGAGGTTTTATTCAAGGAAATGCTTGTGAATTCCATCTTCCCAAATCATGTGACATACGGATGCTTTCTTGACTGTTTGACTAACGAAGGGCATATGGAAAAAGCATTACACCTTCATAATATTATGTTAAAAGGGTCTCTAGCAAACACGATAACATACAATATTTTGATTCGGGGTTTTTGCAAATTGGGTAGAATTCAAGAAGGTGTGAAGATCTTGGATGAGATGTTTGATAATGGAATCTTGCCAGATCATGTGAGTTATTCGACCATTATTTATGAATATTGTAGAAATGGGAATGTACATGAAGCGATTAAGGTATGGGATTTGATGATTGATTCGGGTTTGAAACCAGACACATTGGCATATAGTTTTATAATACATGGTTGTTGTGTTGCTGGAGAGTTGACCAAAGCGGTTGACTTTCGTGATGACATGGTAAAAAGAGGATTGAAGTTGAATCAAAGTCTGGAGCTTTTGTGATTCGATTTGGGTGTCTGTTTTCATGAAACAATCGGGGTAAGGTTTTAATTTTTTTTTTTTTTAAATAGTTAGCCTTATAAAGCAATTAATTTAAGATATAAAACTTGCTTGTGTAGCTTCAGTTCCCAATTCCCATGGTGGTTGTATGTCACCAAAAGAGGTGATTGTCATGCAGCCTGGGAGGCTTCCCATGGTGAGTGGTGGAGGTGGCAAGGTGGGGGTGGGGGTGGAGGTGGTGGTGGTGGTGGTGGAGACATTGGGGTGGAAAAAGAAATACATAGGGTAAGAATTTACAAAAACATCTTCGAAAATCAAAAGCTATTTTTTTGTCTTTGGGAAAAAGAGGCCAAAAAGACTATTTTATGTTTTTTGTTTCTTGAAAAACAAACAGTCTGTTTCTCAAATGTCTTTCCACATGTAGACAAAAGAAGTCAAAAAGACTTTTTGCCAAAAAACAAACACCACCTTAGAACCTTTTGAAGTGGGGTTTTAAAAGGTTAGTTCTTTTATCAAATTCCCTTTTGGTAATTAATGTGATTAAGTTCATTTGTCAAAGCTCTAATATAATTATGTGTTACAACTAGGTGTGTTGTTGAAGGCTCACCTCAAAAAACCAGACCAATTGTGTTGAAACTCAGTCCTGAATTTGGGATTCTGGAAATAGAAGGTCGTTTTTGTCATTGCATCCAGTTTTGGCTCATAAGCTATGTTTTACATAGCCACAAATGTAAAATATTCGTGTAATCTTTATTTTTGAGATGCTTTTATGTGGTTTTTTTGCTTTTATTGCTCGACTTGAGGCATTAGAGTTTAGGGTAACTACAGTGGTATGCTGAAAGTTATGGATTTTGTCCATTCCTTGAGTGTTTAACATTTTTTGTGCATAAAATGTATTTTTTGTAGGACTTTCTGTCTTTGAGCTGTTTAATATAACGATTGGGACTATTGAGTCCATGTAGAATGTATGTCATCAGCTTCACCTATCATCACTTTATCGTTATGTTCAAGAAACCCTAAATCAAACATATCTACAAAACTAATTCAACCAAAAATCAAGTATACAATTTACAGCAACAGACTCTGAGAATCTCATTAAAATGAGGCATGGGAGGTAGATGTTGACAAATGACAATCATGTCTTTATAAGGTGTAGAGCGACTACATCGCATAAATGATCTCAGGCATATGCAAAGGATATCTTGTAAAAAGAGACATGAGACAGATGTAAAATGAGACAGGTAAGGTGAAAGTAAATCAATGTGAAAGTATTGACAAATAAGGTGAAAGTACAGCAGATCAAGCATACAACTTAAACAAAGCTAATCTTAATTGGGATGATTGACGTTCTTTTATTCTTGTTGTCATTCATCGTTTCTTGATGTTCAATTTATTTTATGTAGGTATCTGTTGACTTAAATCTGCTATAAGTTATGTGACTCTTGAATTGTGGTTCATATATACTAGAGATAGGTTAATTGCACTCGGATATTTCTTTTGATTTCTTGGTTTCTTCGTTTCTTGGTTTTGCTAATTGTAGTTCATATACACTAGAGATATGTTAAGTGCACAGTTCATTATTTCACTTGGATTTATTATTCCACGTATAGTAAAAAAGCACTCTACAAGGTCATCGTAGGGTTTAGGGTTTGCAAGAGAAATTCTATAAAAAATGTAAAAGATTTGTAGAAATCTGAATGAATTAGAAATAGAAATTCCATAAAAATGTTTTGTTGAAAAATTAATGGAATGGAATTCTATTAAAATCCATTAAATTTGTAGTAGTAGATTTTATCATTTCATACGCTATATCCAAAGAATCTATTTTACATACCCTTTCTTCTACAAAAAGAGAACAAGTTAATCTTGAAATAAACCTAAAAAATATAAAACAAAATGTTGAGGGCATATGGCTCTTGAAATAAACCTAAAAAATATAAAACAAAATGTTGAGGGCATATGGCTCGATACATATCAATTGCACTATGATATATTTTGTCATCCATGTGCATAGTCCCATTCTCCTATATACGGCCATCATGTTCGATCTAACTTTTCATTGATTATTTCCTAGGGTTTCTTTTTTTCTCTATAACATTGTGTCATTGACACTTCACATAAAAACCTTTTCTTTACATCTTCTTTGACCTCTATGTATTTTTTTAGGCCTGATACTCAATTCTTTAATGTATATTTTTGCAATACAATTAGGATTCACCTATGTAACATGTTTGAACTCCTTAATACAAGTATGACTCTCATCGAGTCCTTTAATTTGGAAAGACCTTTGCTTGTTCATTCATTGTGGCCAAAGTTCTAATGAACAACTAAATTTTTTCTTATTAATACCACATTTAACTCGTAGCATTTGGGTGGAAGATTTGGATACCTATTTACAACATAATTTGTTAAACAAAAACTCATTTCTTTTATAGTTGCATACATTTCCTAATATATGGTCTCATATTATTCTAAAAAGTATGTGGGTCATGGATACCATATTCAACACTAACTTCATATGTTTCCTCGTCCATTTTTTTCTAAAAGTTTCTCACTATCAGAATCAGTGGCGGAACTTAAACATCTAATTTGAGAGGAGGGGGAAGGGGGGAGAGAAGTATAATATGTATTAAAAATGGAGAGCATAGAGGCATAACCCATATTTTATATTTTTAGGCCTAATATGTATAAAAATAATGGACGATGGACTACTTCTAAGTTCTAACCAAAATATCAAGAGGGGTCATAGCCTCTTTTGACCCTTATAAAGCTCCGTCCATGATTAGAATGTTCCTCCTCTTGAATTCTTTCTTCATTGTTTTTTGTAATCACGCGATAATTGCATAAATCATGTAGAAATGCATCACTTGAAGTTTAAAGTATTCTTCCTTGTCGTTGTCATTCAAATCTTCATCCACCACAAAAGTAGGTCCCCCTTCATCACTTTTTAATCCCGAATTATTTTCTTCAAAGATTGAATCGGAACATTCTGCCATCTCACTGTGATGAAGCATTCACACGAGTTAAACCGTTATTTTCAACAATTAACCAACCGATGAGAAATCAAATATTTTAATGCATGAAACGAACGGTACATGCATATGGCTTACCGGGAAGCAAGCAAGTAACTAGTTATTTGGTCAACAATGAACAAAAGTTTAAAATATAATGTTCGATTTAGGAAAATAAATGTCAAGACTGAAAATAATAAAATAAAAATATAATGATTTTTATATAATTTATCATTGTAAAATGAGTTTGAACTGCATTTCGATTTTCATTTAGGAGGTAACTATCTTCCCCCTTCCTTGTTTATCCTTCTTCTTCCCTTTTTCAAAATTTTGGGATTTTATTTGAAAACTACTTATTGATTTCTTAGGGTGCGTTTGGTTGTGGAAACTGTTTTATTTCCTAAGAAAATGTTTTTTAGAAAATAGGGATAGCTAGAAGAAAATCTTGAGCATGTGGTGCACGTAAACACTGGAAAACTGTTGTAACATCCCGAAAATCAAGATATAAAAAAATTGTTTTTAGATTAATAAATCGTTAATACAGATTGTTTCCATAAAACCACAGTAACCAATATTTAGCAAAACATCATTAAACCAGAGTAATTCACAGAATGCGGAAATATGTGGTGTGGACTCTGCAATCATCCCGAACTCTTCCATTTGAAAACCGGAGTACCTGAAACATAAACTGAAAACCGTAAACACAAAGGTTAGTGAGTTCCACAATATATCATACCACATACAACCACAGATTATCATGCACATACATATAGTTGCCATGGGCTCCCCCCATGGTCTTTACCTGGAATGCCATGGGCTCCCATATGGTCTTTACCTGGAATGCCATGGGCTTCACCTATGGTCTGACATCCAATTGCCACGGGCTCCCCCTGGGGTCTTCCATGCAAGTATCACAGAGACAACTAGCATACCACATAACATGTAATGGGCCAGCATTGGTGCCTTCGATCCATAGATATAGTGAGAAGACTCACCTCGTACTGTTGAATCATACAGAAACACCATTGGCTGTTGGTTGATAGATCCCCGAACTATTAATAACAAAACAACACCCAATTAACAATTGGGTTCCAATCCATAACCACATCTTCCTATCTGGGGTAAAAAGACCATTTTACCCCTAACCTAGACTTATCCAAATCTAAGACCCAGACTTACAATCTGAAAGGCCCAAATGCCAATAAATCAACCAATTGCCCAATTTTCCAAATTGGGCCTAAACCCCTTACATGGGCCTTACTTTAAGGCCCAACCATTCTTTATAGTCCAAAACACTTTGTATTCCGATGGCCCATTAATAACTCAAACACTCAAACTCAAAATACCAAAAATCACTCGTGACCCAAACCATGGCCCAATTTTCCAAATTGGGCCTAAACCCCTTCGTAGGCCTTCTCAAAATAATTATCAGCCCAAAAGAAACAACTCAGCCCAACCGAAGCCCATACCAAAAGAGTCCAAGTCCAAAAAGCCCAATTCCCATCTGATCAGACGTACGTACGGTGTACATGGCTTGTACGCACGGCGTACGTCGTCGGTCCAAAAACGGGTATCATAACCGGAACGCACGACGTTCCCAATGTTACACACGGCGTTCCCAGCGGCCACCCAAAAGTCATTCCAATGACTTAATCCTTAAGCCAAACGTCCAAAACCTCATAATAGCTAAATACAAGTGACTTGATCCATAAAGTCGAAGGCTTTAAGCCTTCGCATGGCTTAATGAAGCCCAACTCAAAAGATGAACCCTAAAGGTCAAAATCACCCCAAAAAATGTCTTAAAAACTTCTTAATACCTTAAGACCTTAATCCAAACTTCCAGATCTGGTTTCAGGGGACTTCTTAAAGTCATAAAGTTTCCTTATGACTTAACATAACGCAATGGGACCCAAATCAAAAGCCCAAGTCCCAAACTTCATCAAATGACTACTAAATCATTCATGGAAGGTTTATACCCATAAAGATCCAAACTTTATGACTCCATAACCTCAACAAGGACCAAATATGAAGCTCAAAGGTTCTGGAGTAACTTCTACTCACAAGAACCACCTCAAAGGGACCAAAACCATAACAAAATACCACTTAGCTAGATCTACATGAAAGAGTTTTCAAGGTTGAGACTTTATACCTCCAGAAGATGGATCTAGGTGCACAAAGCCTGGATCCAAAAGCTCCAAGTCAAGCAATGACTCTTCAAGAAGTTCTTTCTTCTTCCTCAAGCACCAAAACACATATAAATCACTTTGAAGCTCAATAATCACACAAATGGAATCTAGGGTTTCGTTCTTAGGGTTAGATAGGATGGAGGCTAAAGGAAATGAGGGTTGGAGGTGAGTTAAGTTCTTTAAATAGGGTCCAAGACCCTAAATTAGGGTTTTAATCTGGCCTGAAGAACGCAACGTGTTCCCTTGGGGAACGCAGGGCGTTCCCAAATGCACCCCGTCCAAATTCTTGTGTACGCCATGCGTACCTCCCTTGTACGTCATGCGTACCCGTTTTGGCCCAACACCCCTCTAACTTTAAATGGCATAACTTTTGCATCTCTTATCCGTTTTTGATGTTCTTTATATCCACGAAAAAGGTAACGAGAAGTCCTACACATCTATAAACTTTATTTAGTCTGAAAACCAACCGAAATTAAATCCAAAATTCATAAAAGGCCCGAACCAACACCTTTACCGATACCCTTAGGCTCCAAAACACAAACTGAATACCCGAATCATCCAAACTACATCATCAACCTCCAAATGAGCCCAAACTCAATTCTTCAAGGGTTCTAAGCTTGCTAATACCTACTCCTTGATCACCACCCCGCAATGAGAAACGATTCGAAACCGGGCGTTACAATTGCTTTCTTCTGAGTCGTCATGTCTCCTGTGGAATATCCTACCATCCTCAAATATTGACTCTTGAT